AAATATGTCATAGTGACTTTGTTACACAACATTGGATCGATTATCTTACTAGCTCGCATGGAAACGATGGAACATTTTATGATACCTTTCGAACGACGGGCACATTTGTATTTCAAGCCTTGTCTACATTTTGTGACCTGGTTGATGAAACAATATCGAATAGTTTAATCCAATTCAATTCTAATCAATATGTAAGTGCATATGTGACACCTGAAAATGTATTTCACCTACAAACTGATGCATTTATATCTCAATTCATATCATCAACAACAAATCAATTTTTGTTATCACTCTCCATGATACGAAAAACGACTCAAAGCAACGCTTTGCTTACTGGACAACTTACTAATTACAGAGTTCGTCTTGCAGCCGATCTAAGTTTAAGTACAAAATATGTCCAGTATGATGATTGTACGTGCACTTCTTCTGCTACATGCATTGAACAATACGTAGTTATGGATTATCCTAACTGCACGCAAGTATTTCCTTTACCAGGTCTTTATATAGGATGTTATATAATTGAATCATTACTTCAATCTAATCTTCAATGTTTTTACGATCAAGTCTGCATAGATACCGTACAGTTATACTTAGGATCGTCTAAATTTATAAATGTGACAGCTCTTGATATATCATTGTCCGTCCAGTATTTGGAAAACTCAACAATTGCAGATATTCTTGATGAATTGATGGTTGAAGAATGGAATTCATCAAGTATTTATGAGAATTATTACAGTGAATGTCAACCATCAGGCTGTAGTTATACTGTTACGACGAAGAATAGTGCAATATATATTATTACAACTCTGACTGGATTAGTTGGTGGTTTGCTTACAGTATTGAAATTGATGGTGCCTATATTAGTTAAGTTCGCAAGGAAACGCATACACAAAGAAGTAAAAGTTGAAACCGGTAAGAGATGAAAATAGCTTAAACAGTATTATATATAGAATGCATGCACATCCAATTCGTAGAATTCGGAGAGAAAAGAAGAAGTGCTGTTTAAATGGATGTAGATGCCGTTCTAATTTGTTTAGTAAAATAATGGTATTTTATCTCACTATTCATAACTATCTATAAGGAAGAGCACGGCGGAGAAAAGTAAGCTTATAAAATGTCAGTTTTGTTTTTCAACGAAACGTAAATAGGTGTACCGAAATAGATGTTTTACTTCTAAAATGAACTAGAGATATAGTACGGTCTACTTTGACTAAATATTTGAAAGATTAATAATGTGTCCAGAGTTCACAATATTTTAATAAACAGAAGATTATCTAGAGTACTTGTTATGCTCTCTTACTATTCTATCACTATAACTTTTCTAATACTCTTTCATTTTTTAAGAAACACTGGTACAAGAACCGAATCACAGTATATTATACAAATTAAAATATTATCTTTCAACATTCAATTTCTTTCCATCTGTTCCACCAACTACCGATGAACATCAACTTCGAAACCAACGCATTTCAACAAGATTATTTA